GCATTCAATTATCGAAATGAATTATTTCCTAAAATAAAACCTCAAAAAAAGAGAGATCAATGGAAGACTATTTCATTTGATAAACCTTCTACTCGTAAAGTTAAAACTCCTAAACCTATGAAAACTGTTAATAAACCCACAAAACATCAACAACTTGATTCACCTGCATCTACTCCTGAATTACTTAGTGATTTAAGTGATATCGATATGAATTCGTCAATTTTTGACCTCGATTTATTTAATGATTGGGCCGATTTCCTTGCCAATCAAAATGCCTATCCGAGTCCCGACTTATCAACAATTTCCAGCTGTAATAATTCTCCTAGCATAAATAATTTCGATTTTGATTTAGAAATTTCTTCTTCTGACCAATGTTTTGACTTACCAATTCAAGCCGACCAACAATTCAATGATGATATTGTAAATAATTTATTATTAACTGGTGAAAACCAATTTTCTACCCATGATGGCCAGTATGGACTCGGAATTTTCGATTTTTCTAATGAAATTTCTGAAATAAATCCACATGAAATCTTTATATCAAACACATTTATTTCCAATGACATTTCAAATGATTTTGTCAATTCTAATGATCAACTATCATTCTTGCCTGACTTTGAAGTACTAAATGCAACAATAAATCAGGATGATTTAAATGATTCATTAATTGCCTACGATATGGACTTGAATTATTTTCTCTAAAAATTTTCCATATAAACCTATGTTTAATACAAATTAAGCTTTATAAAATTATTATATTTATGAAATTTAATACAAATATAAGGTTATTATGCTTATGAATATATGCCATTATGTCTTATAAAATAATTCTAATTCCTATGCAACAATTATGAGAATTAAGATAAAAATAAACATAAAAAAAAAAGTATTAGATGTAATATAGAGATTTAGAATAGATTTTTGTATTTTTATTTGTATAGATTTTTTTTATTTAATATTATTAATATAATAAAGTTTGCAAATTTAAAACGATATATTTTGCGTGATAATATTGTACTGTATGTACGCATTTACGTATTCGCAAGTAAATTCAATCAATTTTTATAATTCCATATATATCATAATGAAGATATAATTAAGTTTTATCTTAATAGATTGAATTCAGACCTCATCTGTTAATATTTGCAATAAAAATGATTTAAAAATTTAAATTTCAGAAAGATTTGTCATTCTTGCAATACTGCGTTTTAAATTTGAAGATTATTAAACAGATAGGAAGATATTTAATGCAAATCAAAATTCACGAAAGGAAATTCGACAAGATTAAATTATTTACATATAGTATATAATGCGTTTTAAGAGGTAAGAAACTTATTCTCGTTAAAAGCTATTAATAACTAATAACTTATTATAAGCTGTATTATTATTTATTAGATTAAAATTGTTTAATTTTAAAACTTTAGAAATATAATCAAAGTTACGTGTATTAAAAAAAAATTAAAAAACAAAAATTAAATCTTTTCTTTGGATAAATTTAAATGCATTTAATCATTTTCAATTATTTTATACTGTATTGATTTCGAAGTTATGTTACGCTGCCATTTTTTGCTCTTTGTAAAAAGTAAAACCAAATTGTGTTGCGTTGAGTAAGAGAACTTGCCGAATAATCGTCTATTAA